GTTTAAAAAGTCAAGTTGGGAAGGAATGTCCAGCACTATTTGCTGTCTATTAACTTACTATGACTAGAGTCTGCTCAAAATTTATGTTCCTGATGATGACAGTTGTTGAAACAAAGCTTAACATCAACTTTTTAAGACTTGACACTAGACAGAGTGGAGTGAAATTTTTTTGTAACTTCAACATTTTTCACCACTACTCGTATTCCAGTGATTCATACTAATAAACTTATGTTGGTTGATTGTAGAATGTTAACAAGCTGTCCAACAACGTACATGGGCTACCTTGTTTTAGAATTTTTACCTGAGAATAAAGATAAAAAAACCTCTGAAATAGAGCACATTTCTGCTTTTGTATAGACTTTTGACTTTGGATTTAAAGACAAAAGTAAGTACTCAGTTAAATGAGTCATTTATTACCTTCCACAAAGCAGGGTATACAGTTAGCATCTAATGAGGTCATTAGCGATATAATAATAAAAGAAAGGAGAAGGGAAAAACATTGTCCTTTATACAACTTTAGTAACCCTAGCTGAGGGTACTTGTTCAGAAAGCTAATGTTCCTAAACTTTAATACTTATTACTTTACATGTTATAGAAATAACAAGCCCTGTTCTGAAGATTGTGACACAGCTTTAGTTAAAATTGAATATTAAATATGCTTTAATTCCTTTAGTTTCTGAAAAAAAAAAAGAGTAAATTGTTGGTGTTGTAACTAGATAATACTAATTTATTTAACTAAATATGTACACAATATAACTAAATTAATATTGTGACTGTGATATTTAAATGCATTTGTATATTTCTTACATGCTAACAAATTGTAATTATCTCTGTTGATATTGTAAACTATAAGGAAGCTTTCTGACTAACAGGAGAAAGCCAAAACCCTTGTCACAAAGATTTATTTGTAATTAAACGTACATGGAATTAAAGAGATTAAACATGAAGGTTTTTAAAATGGTCATTGTATATTTGATACTTTGTAAAAAAAAAATCTGAATTTTATATTTTTAAACTATATTCTTGCGTTTTCTGTGATGTTAAACTGAATTAATGTTTAATGCATTAAGCGTAATTCTGTAAAGAGTAAAATAAAAGTCAAAAACATGTTAACTTGATACATTAAACTTGGTTTCTTCAGTAGTTCATTTCATCAAAGTATCATAGTTCGCTACAATAGCCTGTTAGTGTGGGCAGTATTGCCTTTACTGGTGTTCGTATGCGATATATTGTTACACATTAAATTTTGCATTCTAGGCTGTTAATAGAAAGCGATCAACTAAAGGAATCCAGAATGAAATGCTAGTGCAAAGAGAACAAAAGCCTATTTTCCATCACTTCTAGGATAAGAATGATTCAGTATTCTTTCTTATGCAGTATTATCATTGTGTAAAAAAGGACAGTGAAGATTTACTTATTTTATGGCAGTCTCTTCTTTGCTGAATCAGTAACATAAACTGCACAAATCTTCAGTATCCTTCCTTACGTGGTCTTGTTCTTTATGAATCAGTAATGTAAACTATACAATTAAATCTTCAGTATCCTATCTGAATCAGTAACATGAACTACACACACATCTTCAATATCCTTCCTTATGTAGTCTCTTCCTTTCTGAATCAGTAACATGAACTACAAATCTTCAGTATCCTTTCTGAAACAGTAACATGAACTACACAAATCTTCAGTATCCTTCCTTACGTGGTCTCGTTCTTTATGAATCAGTAATGTAAACTATACAATTAAATCTTCAGTATCCTTTCTGAATCAGTAACATGAACTACAAATCTTCAATATCCTTCCTTATGTAGTCTCTTCCTTTCTGAATCAGTAACATGAACTACAAATCTTCAGTATCCTTCTTTACGTAACATCAACTACACAGATATTCAGTATCCTTCTTTACGTAGCCTCGTCCTATCTGAATCAGTAACATGAACTACAAATCTTCAGTATCCTTTTTTAAAAGACTCTTGCCATTAAAAGATTGTGAGTACAAAAACATCCTGATTGAATGCTAATTCACTGAACAAAGCAAAAGACAGAGAAATGGAGCCAAACTCAACTGATTTTACCGTACTTTAATTTTATTTACATGATGTGATTCTACAGAAGAAGAAACTTATGTTTAAAAATCATTTAAGAGACAAAGGAAATATTATTTTATAAATGCTTGTAAATGTTAACAATTATTTCTATACTGTTCCAGTAAGGTGTTTCATAATCTTTTGTGACTGAATTTTTGTGGAATAATTTCAAGCTTTAAAAACGAATGTACTTTCATACAAACCTTTAGAAAAATAAGTTACCATTTCCATTTTAGTTTATGACACAAAACTATTACAGTAACCTTTTAATCTGATTGTTAATAAGTGAAGCCAAATCTTTTTGTTTAAGAGTAAATTTCAAACACTCAGATTTTCAGACAAGTGTTAATGTAAGTTGGGTAACCTTAAAATATTGGTTGTGTTAGATTGTTTTTTCTGCAGCATTGTTATCGGATTGAAAACACTTGTTCTTAGTTTCTTCTATTGTCTTCACTCTGTTATAACAGCATTTAAAGAAAAGAACCTGACTTATTTAATCATCTTGTATGATGTTTCACTACAAAAACACATGGAAACTAAACAGAGTTAA